TTTACTCAGCAGCACATGGAACATTTTCCAAAATATACCACATTTTAGGCACAAAGCAAACTTGTCCAAATTTAGAAACATTGAAGTTATACCTTGCATTCTCTCAGATCCAAGGGAATAAAATTAGAACTCAGCGTCAAAAGCCACCAAGGAAAATCCTGTAACACATGGAGGCTGAACAACACACTGCTGAATCATGAGTGGGTCATGGAAGAGATTAGAAAGGAAATTCAAATGTTCATGCTATTCAACAAAAGTGAACACACAAATTACCAGCTCCTCTGGGACACAGCAAAGGCAATACTCAGGGGCAAGTTTATAGCTCTGAGTTCCTACATCAACAAATTGGAGAGATCTGAAACCAACAATTTAATGAGACATCTGAGGCTCCTTGAAAAAGAGCAGCAAGATAAATCCCAAGCCAGTAGATGGAAAGAAATAATTAAAATTAAATCAGAATTAAAAGAATTAGAATCCAAAAAAAACATAGAAAGAATCAACAAAACAAAGAGTTGGTTCTTCGAAAAAATTAAGAAAATGGACAGCCCCTTAGCAAATCTTATCAGAAAAAGAAGAAAACACACCCAAATAAATAAACTCTGTGATGAGAATGGAAACATCACCAAAGAAACAACCAAGATTCAAAACATTATAAGGGAATATTTCTCAAAACTTTATGCTAATAATTTTGAGCACTTGGCAGAAATGGCCCTTTTCCTAGCAGATATTGACATGCCAAAACTAAACCAAGATGAGTTAAACCATCTTAACAGGCCTATATCAAGCATTGAAATAGAAACAGCAATAAGAGACTTCCCATAAAAGAAAAGCCTAGGATCAGATGGCTTTATAGTGGAATTCTACAAGGCCTTCAAAACAGAGCTCACACCAATACTCCTCCAACTCTTCAATGACATTGAAAGAAAGTTCACTACCGAACTCACTCTATGAAGCCATCATAACCCTCATCCCAAAACCAGGCAGGGACTCATCAAAGAAAGAGAACTATAGACCCATTTCTTTGATGAACATTGATGCAAAACTTCTCAACAAAATTCTGGACAATCGACTTCAAGAATTCATCCAAGAAATCATCCACCACAATCAAACAGGATTCATTTCAGGGATGCAAATCTGGTTCAACATATGCAAATCAATTAATATTATTCATTACAACATATGCAAATCAATTAATATTATTCATCACATCAACAGGAGCAAGGATAAGAACCACATCGTTATCTCAATAGATTCAGAAATAGCATTTGACAAGATCCAATGCCCCTTTATGATGAAGGTTCTGGAAAAATTAGGAATCCATATAACATTCCTCAATACAATAAAGGCTGTATATGACAAACCTACAGCCAGCATTATACTTAATGGTGAAAAACTAACGCCATTTCTTCTTAACTCAGGAATAAGACAAGGATGTCCACTGTCTCCACCTCTCTTCAATCTTGTATTAGAATGCCTAGCTACAGCAATAAAACAAGATGCAAACATAAAGGAGATCAAATAGGGAAAGAAGAAGTAAAACTCTCCATCTTTGCAGATGACATGATCTTGTATTTAAAGAATCCCATAGACTCCACTCCCAAATTACTGGTGCTGATTCAAAACTTTGGCAAAGTAACAGGGTATAAAGTTAACCCTCAAAAATCAATGGCTTTTCTGTATGCCAACAATGAGAAAAGTGTGGCTGAATTCAGGAAAGTAACTCCATTTGTAATAGCCCCACAAAAAATAAAATACCTAGGAATTAACTTAACCAAAGAAGTGAAGGACCTCTATGAAGACAACTTTAAAAACTTGAAAAAGGAAATCAAAACAGAACTTAGAAAGTGGTAAAAACTCCCATGCTCCTGGATTGGAAAGATCAACATCATGAAAATGGCAATACTTCCTAGGGCTATCTACATATTCAATGCAATACCGATCAATATTCCAACCTCATTCTTCAAGGAAATAGAAGAGGCAATAAAAAAATTCATATGGAACAATAAAAGACCTCGAATAGCAAAAAAAAAAAAAAAAAAAAAAAAACCAGAAAGAACAGTGCTGGAGGAATATCAATACCAAATTTCAAACTATATTACAAAGCCATAGTAATCAAAACAGCTTGGTACTGGCACAAGAACAGACCTCAGGACCAATGGAATAGAATTGAAAACCCAGAAATTATCTTACAGACCTGTAACCATCTAATTTTTGATAAAGGAATTTAAAAAAATAGAATGGAAGAAAGACAGCCTCTTCAGTAAACGGTGCTGGCAAAATTGGTCATCTACTTGTAGAAAACTATAGTTAGATACTTATATATCACCCTGCACCAGAAACAACTCCAAATGGATCAAAGACTTCGGAGTCAAAGCAGGCACTCTGAAAAAATTACAGGATGGTATAGGAGAAACCCTAGGTCTCCTTGGCACAGGCCAAAATTTTCTTAATAGAGACCCAGAAACACACCAAATCAAAGAAAGGTTGGACAAATGGGATTGCATGAAATAGCAGAGCTTCTGCATGGCCACGGACATAGCTAGCAAGATCAATAGAAAGCCCACAGATTGGGAGAAGATCTTCATTAGCCATACAACAGACAAGGGTCTCATATCTAAAATATACCTGGAACTCAAAAAATTAAATCCACCAATAACAAATCTTCAAAGAAACAACTTCCCAATAAATAGATGGGCTAAAGACTTAAAGAGAAACTTCTCTGAAGAGGAAAGAAGGATGGCCAATAGACACATGAAGAAATGCTCAACCTCCCAAGCCATAAAAGAAATGCAAACCAGAACAACATTGAAATACCACCTCACCCCAGTTAGAATGCCTATAATCAAGAACTCTTAATAACAACAGATGCTGGAGGGGATGTGGACAGAAGGGAACCTTACTACATTGTTGGTGGGAGTGTAAACTTGTTCATCCACTTTGGAAAGCAGTATGGAGGTTCCTCAAAAGAGTCCACATAGAGCTCCCCTATGACCCAGCAATCCCACTTTTGGATATTTACCCAGATGTTCACAAACATGACCACATTAAAGCTACCAGCATGACTATGTTTTTTGCAGCCGTATTTACCATAGCTAACACATGGAACCAACCCAAATGCCCCTCAGTATATGAATGGATTAAGAAAATGTGGTGTATATACACAATGGAATTCTATGCCTCCACCAGAAAGAATGACATTGCACCATTTGTTAGGAAATGCAAAGACTTGGAAAAAAATTAAGTGAAGTATGCCAGGCCCAAAGAAACATAAGTCCTATGGTTTCCCTTATTTGCAATAACTAGTATATGTCTGAGTCAAGCAGAAAAGCTTAGATAAGTTGATGTTAGGTGAAATACACCCTAAGATATGTATTGAAATGTTTTTTTCTTTCATGCGATTGTTTCTAACATATTTATTTTTATTTTTTATTTATTTATTTATTTATTTTTTGGGTCCTGTCGTGGGGCCTGAACTCTGGGCCTGGGCACTGTCCCTCAGCTCTTCAGCTCAAGGCTAGCACTCTACCACTTGAGCCACAGCACCACTTCCGACTTTTTTCATTTTTGCTTATGTGGTGCTGAGGAATCGAACCCAGAGCCTCATGCATGCAAGGCAAGCACTCTACCACTGAGCCACCTTCCCAGCCCTGTTTCTAACATATTTATAAGATGATTTATTTGTTGGTTTGTATATCCCTTCCCCATGGTATAACCCCTGCTTTCACTGTATTTGATGTTGTTATAGTTTGTGGAGGGGAAGGAAAAAAACAAATAATTTAAATAGGGATACAGGTGGACCCATTGCAATAATGAGACGTACAAGTTATATGTCGAAATCGAACTTTACAACTTTGGTGGGGTGAGAGGTTTGGGGGGGGGCGGGGTGAGAATGGGATGGGAAGGGGAAACAAAGGAGGAGGTTACAATGCTTGATAAGTAATGTACTCATTATCTTGCCCATGTAATTGTAACCCCTCTGTACATTATTTTCACCCAAAAAGAATCAGAAAAAATACCTTGATTTTACTTTTAATTCTGATATTATTTACATATGTTCAAAAATGAAACGTGAAATTATTTGGAAAAATATAGCAATGCATCTTCACTAATTCCAGAAAAGTAGATATAATTGTCTATTTAGAATTTGTAAAAAGAGAAGGAAAAAATTTACTTTTATTAGCAAATACAATTTTGAAAATGATAATAAAATATAACATATGAAAACCTTTTTATACTAACTCTAGTTTGAAAACTGAATGAGTTGAAAATATTCAACAAAGCATAGATATCTAATAATCATGAGAAACTGATAGTAGAAAAAAAGTCCTTGTAAGTTTACTGAGAACTCAATATATGTAGAGATTTGGAGAAGTCAATATGTAATGATTGCTATTTAAAAATCCTGAAGGCACACCTTTCCCTTTATTCCTCTGTTACAGTGTGTCCCTGGATTTCAGAATCACTTTAGTGAATTCATTAAAGAAACAAATGAGCTGTCCAACAACCCTAAAATATAGTTCAGGAGGAAATTTACCTGATACAACCTTCCTTGCTTAGTGTTTTTGTCCAAATCTGATGCTCGGCAACTTGACACACATCTTAGTTTCCTCAACTTTTTTGCTTGGTTAATTGGAGATAAGAGCCTCTCAGATTTATCTGCCCACTCTGAACCTTTACTCTCAAATCTCAGCCTCCTAAGTAGCTAGGATTATAAACATGAACCTGCAGTACTGAACTACATGACAGCTTTAAATATGTACCCTATTTCAGCTCTTTCAATGTGTCTTCATTTGAAACATGCCATTTTTCCATAAGAACAAAAATGTTACTTGTAATTTCTGTAAGTTTTATGTGGTAGTTTTATTTTTTGGTATTAATAGATGGATCTCAAATAAATTAATACTTCAGTTTTTAAAGTTGTGATATATTTGCCACAAATATATATTCTTTTCAGTGTGATGGAATGTAAATGGGATTGAAATTTTCTGAATTGTTTGCAGAGTTTCCAGCTATGACATCTTCTGGTATACACACAACCTCTTCTTTATCTTCTACATGTTGCTGATGTTGCATGTGTCAGGGTAAGTTTCAAAAAAGACTTCTTTGAAATACCCAAACCATATGGGCTTAAACATAGATTAATGAAAGATGCTCCTAGAAGAATTTTTATAGGAAATGGTAAAAGAATTTTGTGTCTTGAAGTTAATGCTGTGAATACTGAAAGGCATAATTCTATATTTAGCTCGTGTAATTTAACAAAACCAATATAAAAGTATATATTTAAATTGAACAGAAGAGTTGCTTCCTCCATTATGCCATAGTTTTAAAAGCCCCATATTACTTTCTAAAAGAAAGTAAGAGATTTTTCTGTGTTTTTTATTTTCCATTTATATTTGGGCTTGTACTTAGGGACTGGTTACTGTCTCTTAACATTTTGCTCAGGCCTGGTGCTTTACCAGTTGGACTACAGTGCTACTTCTCACTTTTTGCTAGTTAAGGATAAGGGTCTCATGAAATTTTTGCCTAAAGCTGAACTGGGATCTTCAGATCTCAGGTTCCTGAGTAGCTGGGATTATAGGCCTGTGCCCTGGCACTTGGCTATTATTGTTTTTTATTTTATTTTATTTTTAGAAACTGTCTTGCCACTGTGAAACCAAGATGTTACCAATTATAGGTTTATAAAAACACCTTAAGGTAGTAATTGTTGTAAGGTAAAACAAAAATTTACAAAGGCTGAAGACAGGTATCTGTCAAAAATTAAAAAAAAAAAGAATGGAAATATACTAAGTTTTTTGGTCGGTTGTGAGGCCTGAACTCTGGACCTGGGCGCTGCCCCTCAGCTCTTCAGTTCAAGGCTAACACTCTACTACTTGAGCCACAGTGCTACTTTCAGCTTTTTCTGCTTATGTGGTGCTGAGTAATTGAACCCAGGGCCTGTAAGGCAAGGCATGCATGCAAGGCAAGCACTCTACCACTAAGCCACCTTCCCAGCCCCACATCCTGTTTTCTACAAAATTCTTCAAGCATTTGTACCCTAAACAAGGGGTCATGTACCATAAGAGGGTTTATTTTTATATGTTTATACCTTCTTGGCCATGGACATAGAGGTTTGGCTTGACTTTTACACTTAACAGGAACAATGATCTGTGGTTAACTGGCCTTAGGTCTGGCATAAAGACACAGGACAGGAAACAGAGCACTACAAGTTAGTGCCAGGAGCTTTTTTCAGTGCCAGTTACTATAGTTGCTTAGGAATCTTTTCCTACATTCTTCTCACTCACCACATAGCAACTGAATATTAGGATGAGAAGGCTTATTGGGAAGGTTCTAATTACTTTACCTTGGGCAGACTTTGTGCTTCTGAGGAATCTGGGTCTTGGTGAAAGTCTGGGTCTTCTCAAGGCTTGCTTTCAGTTATAGGAACCCACTACATCCAAGGTGCTGGACTCTGTGAATGCAGGCATGTTTTTACAGTTCGGTCACTGTGTACTATTCATCAAGAGGAAACAGGGGTACCTGAGAGCACAACTGGGCATTTCTACTTTTCTTCTCAGACATCTCTCCAAGAAAATTTAAGGAGAGATTTAAGACCATTGTTAGTTCTTTGTTGTTGTTATTCTAGTTCTGCAGCTTTCACTCAGGGCTTTGTACTGTCTCTGAGCGTTTGTGCTCAAAGCTAGGCCTTTAGCTCTTTAGTACAGCTCTGCTTCTGGCTTTTTAGTGGTTAAGTGGAGATAAGAGTCTCATGGACTTTCCTGCCCAGGCTGCCTTCAAACCATGATCTTCAAGATCTCCACCTTCTGAGTGGTTTGGTTTATGGGCATGAGTTACTGGTTCCTTTCTAGATTTTACTTCAGAAGGCTTATATAATTTGTTGGTCCCGTGGTCATAGATGGACCAGTAAGAAGAAGAGATTGCTCAGTGAGTACCCTTGGTATCCACAGGTATGTACTTTCAAGGAGCCTGCCTCTGAGGAAAATCGTGGATCCTTGAGATATAAAGTTCTGTAGTCTAAAATTGCTCAAATTGCCGGGCGCCGGTGGCTCACACCTGTAATCCTAGCTACTCAGGAGGCTGAGATCTGAGGATCGCGGTTCAAAGCCAGCCTGGGCAGGAAAGACTGTGAGACTCCTATCTCCAATAAACCACCAGAAAACCGGAAGTGGCACTGTAGCTCAAGTGGTAGAGCCCTCGCCTTGAGCGGAAGAGCTGAGGGACAGCACCCAAGCCCAGAGTTCAAGCCCCACGACCGACCAAAAATAATAAAATAAATTTGCTCAAATTTACCTGTCATATGCACAACATAACTTGAAATCACACAAAGTACACTACATTGTCACAAAATTACTGTGTAAACATTAATACTTCTTGCCAAAAAGTGGATCATATTTGACTCTCTTGATCTCCAATTCTGTGGATGTTTGATTCATTTATCCCAGACACTGCCCAACTTCTGTACTAAACATGGGTTGCCTTTCCACAAACCATAAATTTTTACTTTATCACTTTAAGTAAGCACCTTCACTTTTGCTTTACATTTTGGAAGGCAGACTTTCACAAAATCAACAATAGGGAAGCAGCAGCTCGAAGGACGTAAGCACAGCTGGCAATACATGAGACAGAGTTATTCAGGATCAACTGAGCTGTATAATACATGGCTGAGAGTGAAATATTTCTATTTTTGAAATTTATTTTTCTGTTTCTTATTTTTGTTAATTTTTTCAACCACAGCTGGTCAAAACTGCACGTAAACAAATCCACAAATATGGTGGTGTTTCTGTAATGTGTGTGTGTGTGTGTGTGTGTGTGTGTGTTTAGTGGTACTGGCTATCGAACCTGGAGCATTGTAACCTTCTAGGCAATCCCTTTGCCACTAAGCTACACTACAGCCCGGTGTTGCCATACTTTAAAATGAAATTATATAATGCATTCTCCATACCTCAAGTGTAAATTCAAAATTCCTCAAATATCTTATGTCCCCCACTGTTAAATACAATTTTTATTACCTTTTTATATGTGTGAAAAACTGAAACTTGATGAAGTATACCTAGTGATGGAACTTAGATTCAAACCCAGGCACTTTGATGTAAAAACTCCTAATTTCACTTCTAGGCTATGTGCTTTTGAGGGCTAGTTCTTCTGAGAATTTCATCTTAAGAGGTGTGAAAGGTTATTATTTAGACTTTTGTGGTTTTTAATATATCTATTTTCTTTCCTTTCTTCCTGTCAGATAAGACAAAATGTAATTTGTGTGTTTGTGTGTGTGTGTGTGTGTGTGTGTGTGTGTGTGTGTGTGTGCGCGCGCACGCGCCTGTCCTGGGTGTTGTCCCTAAACTTTTTTGTTCAGAGCTAGAACTCTAACACTTGAACCACAAACTCCACTTTCAGTTTTTTTGGTAGTTAATTTATTTTTTATTTGTTTTTATTAATAAGTTTTTTTATTGTGAAAATACCTTACAGAGGGGTTACAATTACATGAGCAAGGTAATGAGTACATTTCTTATCAAGCATTGTTGCCTCCTCCTTTGTTTCGAACCACAATCCTCAGATCTCATCCTCCTTGAGTAGCTAGGATTACAGGTGAGAGCCACTGGTGCCAGGCAAGATGCAAAAATTGAATAGTTCTATTAATTATGCACTATTTGGCTTTCTGTATTGCTAAGTGAAAAGTTCGAAAAAATATTTTTTTGCAATTCAACAGTCAATTATTTTCTTCTTTTAAAATGATTATTAATTAGATATACAAAGGGATTTTACTTTAACATGTCCACTTAAGTATGCAATGCATCTTGATCATGCATCTTGATTATGATGCCCTTCCCTGTTCTCCTTCACCTTTTTCAAAGCAGGCTCTGATGTTTGTTTGTTCCATTTCACTTATGAATCTAAAGTATTTGAGTACATTTTCCCTCCCTCCCCTCCTACATTCTTCTGCTCCCTTTCACTAGTAACAAATAAGACATGTGTTTTTTAATTTTAATTTTAATTTTTTGTGAACATACTGTACAGAGGGGTTACAATTACATGGGCAAGATAATGAGTACATTTCTTATCAAGCATTGCAGCCTCCTCCTTTGTTTACCCTTCACATCCCTTCCCAGCCTCCTCCTGCCCCCCAACCCAATCTTCCCCCCCCCACAAATAAGACATGTTTTAACTTGATAATGCTTTTTCTGATGAAGTGTGTGTTATTTAATATATCATACACACATATACCTTATTTCAGTGTATTATACACAAATATACTATTTACTATTTACACATAAGCACAATACAAATATAATCATTTAATTTTAGTTGAAAAAAAGCAATGCAGATTGTGCTTCTAGTATTGGAACAGTTACTATTAGCAAATTTTCCAGTTTTTCTAGACTATTCTTTTTTGTTGATAAAGTAGTTAAGTCTTTTTAAGTTGCCTTTTGCATCATGATTGGTAACTTAAACAGATCTTTATTTATTTAGATTATTTTATTCTCTAGCCTTTGACTGTATGAGGAAAGTGGAGTTGTTAAATCTATTTATTTGACTTTAGGTTTCCATTCCAATGTAAAATTTAGGATTGGACAGAGGGTGGCTATTAGTTAGATATTCATTCCCCTCCTCTTCTCTCCCCTCCCTTTTTTCCCCTCCCCTTCTCTGCTGTCAGTACTGAGATTTGAACTCAGAGACTTCACGCTGTCCCTTAGCTTTTTTGCTCAAAGCTGGTGCTCTAACACTACTTCTGGCTTTATTTTGCTGGTTAATTGGAGTTAAAAGTCTTATTTCCTGACTGGGCTAGCTTTGAACTATGATCCTCAGATTTCATGTTCCTGAGTAGCTAGGATTACAAGCATTAGCCACTAGTGCCCTGTAAGTTTCTTGTTTTTATTTTGTGGCAACTCTGCTTGACTCGGACTATTCTCCAATATATGATTGATGCCTGACTTACTCTTTTATTTTTATTTTTTGTAGTTCATTTCAATAAATGTTATTTTGTATGATCAGATGCACACATGAATTTTGCCTTTCTCTTCCTCTCCTAAGGGTATCATCCTTTGGTCTCACTGTGTGGGAATGCCAAGAGTCCTGTATAATTTATCAT